GCGGCGGAAGAAGACCAAACGCGCGCTTAAACGAGCATTACAGAAGAGCGGAACGGCCAGTAGACCAGGGGGCGTCGATCATAATGATGAAGCTATCGAAGGGGGAGTCCAGAACCTTGAGGCCAAGCTTAAGGAGGTTGAGCTTAACCCTGAAGGAACAGCTAGAATAAACGCAGACCTAGAGGACGAGCTAAGCGGCGACAGCGACGAAAGCGCTGAGTTCTTTGACGCTATCGACGCAGGCGATGTGGAAGTTGCAACCGAGATGCCAACTCCTGCGCTAAAGAGTCCCCCTTTACCTGAGGAAACAGTGGACGCTGACGATGAATCCAAACAACTTCAAGTCGGGATGTCGTTAAGAGAAAAGAAAATTGTAGCGGTAAAGACCAGTTATACTGGATATGATGATGCTCCTCGCCAGAAGTTGGCGCTGGACAGCGACGACAGACCAAAGGTGTCGCTTTGGGTAAGCATATCCGTATATATTTTGATATTTGTTCATGATTAACTTTTTTTTAGGGAATTCTCAAATCGATGATTGGCAAAGATATGACCAAGATGACGCTTCCGGTATCTTTCAACGAACCCACCTCCCTTTTACAGCGTGTTGCGGAAGACATGGAATATATCGATCTCCTTGATATCGCCGCCGATCGGGCCGACCCTGCCGAGCGGATGGTTTACGTTGCTGCCTTCGCCGCCTCTGAATACTCCTCTACTACCGGCCGTGTTGCAAAACCGTTTAACCCACTTCTTGGAGAAACCTTCGAATACGTCCGCCCCGACAAGAACTACCGCTTCTTCATTGAGCAAGTCTCTCACCACCCACCTATTGGTGCTGCGCACGCAGAGGCTGAGAAATGGGACTACTGGGGAGAATCTGCTGTGAAGAGTAAATTCTATGGAAAGAGTTTCGACATCAATCCTCTTGGAACCTGGTTCCTTCGTCTCCGTCCAGTTACCGGAGGTGAAGAGCTTTACACCTGGAAGAAGGTCACAACATCCGTCATTGGTATTATCACCGGTTCTCCTACCGTTGATAACTATGGTATTATGGAAATTAAGAACTGGACTACTGGCGTAACCTGTTATCTTGACTTCAAGCAACGGGGATGGCGTATCGCGAACGCATATGAGGTTAAGGGACGTGTTATGGACCCTGAAGGCACTCAGATGTGGAGTGTTGGAGGAAAGTGGAACGACAAGATGTATGCTCGCTTGTCTCCTGGTTATGATGCGGAAGTTACGGCTCCCCCGGCAAACTCTAAGCAGGGTTCAAACCCTACGCAGGCCTTCCTCATCTGGGAGAATAATCCCCGTCCCCCGGCTCCTTTCAACCTTACGCCATTTGCGATCACTCTTAACGCACTCCCTGAGAAGTTGAAGCCTTACCTCTGCCCCACCGACACCCGTCTCCGACCAGATCAGAGGGCTATGGAGGATGGTGAATACGACTTTGCAGCTACTGAGAAGAACCGGCTGGAGGAGAAGCAGAGGGCGAAGAGAAGGGTTAGAGAGGAGGAGGGCTCACACCATGAGCCAAGATGGTTCAAGAAGGCCACTTGTGAGATTACTGGAGAGGAGTTCTGGGCGTTTACGGATGAGTACTGGCAGATGAGGGAGAGCGTTTCTAAAGGAGGATCGTGGGAGAGGGTTGATGATATCTTTTAGAGCGAAGCCTGTGTAGACGGACATTTCAGTACATAATATTTGGTATATTGGGGGAGAGTTACATTCAAGAGATTTAGGCTTTGGGATTATATCGGTATTTAGTCATGTAGCGATGGAGTTGTTTGATTTCAGATGCGGGCCTTGAGAGGTCAAGAGGTTTGGAAGGGTTCACGGTGTGTTATCAAAATTCAGATCGAGTAGAAACTACCCACCTAACATAGCACATAATAATAATTGACTGGGTATCTAATATCTTCTACAAACCACTCTTACGAGTCATTCTTCAAGTCACCCCATATTGGCTCTCCATGCTCCGTGAACTCTGCCCACCTAAAGAAGCCACACCCTGTACCATTCCCGTCTGCTAGATATGTCGAGTTACAATTCCAAAAGTACCTTCTCGGCACGTGTGGGTCTGGTTCCGGATCGAATACCGCTCGTAACGACATTGGCAGTTTACATTTACCTATTCTCTCGTCAACACATATCCACTCACTCACCTTCAAGCAAGCACCCACATTTCGGCGTAACCTCCGGTCTCAAACTCTCCCTATAACATCTATACGTAATATTTATCCTAGTCTCACCCGCCGTTGGATGCATATCGACCTTCGTAGTAGGATGCACACAATGTTTCCAGCCCTCCTGCATTCCCGCATGCATAATAACCAAACTATTATGCGGAAGATGTATAGAATACTGTCCTTCCTTTTCTTCTGCCCTTCCCTCTGAACCCTTCCCATCACCTTGCCCCATCATCCTCCGTATCCTAAACTCCCGTTCCGCCCCTAACGACAACCCCGCTATCACAGTCATAGGACCAAGATAAGTAACTTCATCCGTATGCCATCCTACCGCCTCTTTGGGTCCTTGATACCGATTCACCAACGCTGCATTAGTCCTCCAAGGTTCCTTTGCAAGACCCCAAGGCTTCCTACCCGGAAATCGTCGGGTGATGGCAGCGTTAACAGCGGCTTCTACTAGCTTTGTAGCTTGTAACATAGACGGTGTGTAGGGTCTGGGAGCAAGCGGTATGGCTTGATAGGATAAATAGGCCTTTGCATCGCTTTTGGTTTCGGTGGTGAGATCACGGAGGAAGAAACCGCAGGTATGTGGGGAAACGACGGTGCGGTCGAAAAGACGGAAGGGAGTGGGGGGAGGGAAGGTTAAGGATTCCTGGAGGAGCTCTGAGAGAAGGGAGGAGGCTAAAGATGCAGGGAGGAAGGAGGTTTGGAGTTCGACGGGGATGGAAGAGGGGATTGAGAGCGGGGTGAAAAAATGGTGGGTTTGGCCTTTTGCGGGGGGGCGGTTGGATGTGGTTGAGGTTGGAGAGGAGAGGAAGGGTGTGAGGGAAGATTGTTGCCGGGCTGTTGAGGGACCGGAGGTTGAGAAGGATGAAAGTGGTATTCGTGGCGCAGGAGTTGATAGTGGTGATATTAAGGATTGTTTCTGAGGTTGGCTTTTGTGTTGTGGTTTCGGCTTCTTGGTTGATGGTTCGGAGAGGGAATTTGAGGCGGCGGAAACAGAGCCATTGTTAGAAAGGAGAGCTTCGAGAAGGGTTTCGAGAGAGCTTTCTGGGTGGAGAGAGAGTAATAATGCGAGCTTGGTATCGGTTGTTTCTTCGGTATCGTCTGGTGGTGGTGATAGGCGGCGCTTCTTGGATGTCGGGATTGGTGGAAATGGGGAGGTGGGCATTTGCTTTTTGAAGGAGAGCTGAGGGCGTACGCGTAAAGTATGCGAGGTGGGAGACGCGTCGCGCATGAGTCGAATTAGCCTAATTGGAATATAATTATTGTGGTTTCAGATGGCGATATTCCAAATAATGAGGGATTTCTAGTCAAACATGTAGCTTTTGGATTTATTATTTTACATAAACGCCGAGGTATTGTAGTTTTTAAAAATAGTACAGCCAGGAAACATGATTACAGCTTTTAGAATCATATTCCCATCTCAACATGAAGCCAAATCTGGTTTATGGGCTTACCGATACCTATATCCTCACTAGTTGTAAGGCCCTGAGTTCGGTCTTTAAACCAACGCTGTCCCAAGATTTTACTCCTTCACATCACTGAACATGGTCGTTCAGTCTTATCTGCCTCGCCGGGATTTGCATTCGCTAAATCACTACTACTTACCATCTCCCAATCCTCCTCCGAACTTGACTTGTTCTCCTCTCCCATATCTATGGGGGCCTCTTCGCCCTCCCCCTCCACACTCTCCATGCCCTCCGCATTCATCTTGCCTTTATCCTTCTTCGCACGATACGTGTCAAAGCCTTTGAACTCGATTCTAAACTCACCCTCCTGCTCCAGCCTTCCAAAGAAGCTACGACACATAATGCTTAATCTCTTGACATGTTTCAAGTCAAGCGGCGGGGCATCACGGGCAAGTCTTCCACGGTAGAAAGGTGTAAAGTCCTCAAACCTCGCCAAGACAATTGCTGGTTGCTTGTTATGGTGTGAGAAATGGTACTCGTACGAGATTGTGGATCTTTCTCTGGAATCGGTTTTATCATCGGGAACATCGTTTTTGAGGATGATGCTATAGATCTTATGGTCCGCTTCTGTAGGTATGTTAGTCATGCTACATTTTCAGAAATGGAGGATAATATAAATCCAAGTGGAAGACAGTTGCAAATCAAACCCATAAACTCAGAGAGAAACTTACTCTGAATACGAATCTTTAGCCCCTCATACATTGTCCAATCCCAATTCCTAACTCCCGTCGTCATGACACTAGCAAAACCGGCACCTCCGAGCTTCCTAGAATCCAGTTTCCCCATAAAGGTAGCAGTAGTTCCTTCACTATTCGGGATCATTTTGGAGTTAGAAACTCCTCCGCGAAGACTGTCATCCTGAGGTACCCAGTCGTCCTGATTCCAGGGTGGAAAAAGAGGTGCCATGGCGTTTTCCTTAGGAGTTGGAAAGAAACGACAGAAATAAACACAGCTACCGAGCAGAGGGATAAAGAAAATAACTGCTGTTGTTGAGGAAGTTTGAGCGTTAATCTGTTCTGTATCTAGATACCGAGGGGAGTTTCCAAAGCTCGAGCCGCGATGCGGATGACGTTAATGTTTTGCCGATGCCAAGGGTGGCGTATCTAACGCTAGGATCGGGTATGTTCATGGGTTGTCACTGGTTACTGGGATAAGGGCGTATGAGTGGCGCTTGGCAAGTCTATGCGTTAGAAATTTGGTCGGCCTCTCAGATGGTTCACCTAAAACCTGATGAAGAGGAGCTGTCACGGAGTGAAAGTGTATTAAATTGGTGGTGGAGCAGCTGCTCAAAAGTAGGCACAATATATTATATTTATGCTAGGATCAAATATCATCCCCCGTGGCGCAATTGGCTAGCGCGTCTGACTGTTAATCAGGAGGTTGGTGGTTCAAGCCCACCCGGAGGAGTATTTTTTTGACACTTTTTTAATTTTTTTTTCCACATTTTGTGGGATGTTTCGCAAGTTTCTTTTTACCTATCAAAATTAGCAGTCACAATTTGCATGTCGTTTGAATTTCGACAGTTTCCAACAACGCCCAGCGGCGCTCAGCACAGGCCTCGATCATCTTATGCATCCTAAGTTCCTAATGCAATAATGCAATTATCCATTCACCATTAAGAAAAGAAGCATAGGGAAATCCTAGTCATGATTCTTAAAACCCTCATTATCTCATAGAGACCCAGTTTATCCTCATATCCATCCCTTGCAACATTTCTAATTGTTTGATTGGAGTGTAAGAGTGCAGTTTCTACGGAGACACTCACCCGGTTGGTTAAACACAGACAATCACTGCAAAATTCCGTGTAACTAGCTGCACTTGCGTGGGAAAAAAAATTCCGGAACGATCGATCTCGTGCACGATTTGGTGTACATATAAAGGTGGAAGTTAAAGATCATGTGGATTATATGGATCATACAAACATGTGTTTCTTCGATGCAAAAATTTGGAAGATATGACGGACAGTGCAAATGATGAGGGGTTTAAGATTTGATGTAGTGTTTTGTTTGTAAGCATACTCCAGCATTAGAAAGATTTGGAAGATATGAAAGATCTGACAGACAGTGCAAATTTGTCCGGAAGGCCGAAGGTTGCTGTCTTGTAGGCATATGTAGCATGAAAAATGTTTTACGGTCAGGTGCAATATAATGCAAGTAAGTAGCCTTTTGTTTTCTCTGTTGTTGTTTTTTGCTGCCTAACTCGACTGTACAGCCTCGTTGGTAAGAAAATCACGCAATTTTGGTTTCGAGGTACATATAATGGAGAACTTCACGTGACCCTATCCGGGCTGGATAGAATAACACCAACTTCACCTATGCGATATCAATAGAAAATTTGAATAGACAGAGCAGTAGGTACTCCATTGTCTATTCTAGCGCGCTATTCATTCTCTCTAGAATGTTTTTTCGTGGTGATATAGGCTCTCCCTCACGTTGCTACAGAATTGCAGGAAGTCCCCCAATGAGAGGAGAGCCTTATAAGATAATAAAGATATAATAAAATAATAAAATAATAAAAATAATAACTACATACTTTTCATCTAGTGTATCCGATACTCATACACAGATATAGCTTGTATCGGTTCTTTATGGTTCTCGGTTCAGTACGGTTTTCTGCGGTAGGTAGGCACGGATGCAGACATCGAGACTTCTAGACTTTCCATGCTACCCAGGCTACACAGTGCACAGGCTTTTCAGGCTGTAGTTGGTGATAGATATACATATGTATATGTATATGTACCTCGTACCCTTGTACCTAATATACCCGCGACCATCAGGTATTCAATATATGGCGCCCAATGCCCATACCCTGTTGAAAATCTGGGGTTTTGAATTTAAATACGTACATATACATATACACATACCAATAGTAATGTTTACGGTATTTACGATGTTTATGGACTAGTCTCTGTAGCAGTTTGCAGCAACACAGCATTGATATGTATATATGTAGGTGAATACCAAGTGAAAACTTTATGGTATCAATACAGACTTATGACTTGTGACTCGTGAGATCCGACAACACAAAATGATCACCACGATCACGTCCATGGGCTATCATCAATCCTTGAAATTATGCATAAGTTAAAGATTTATATACTTGTATATTGCAGCCAAGAAGACTTTATGATGTTCGAAAAATAATATGTAAAATGGTGAAACTAATTACTATACCTAGCATCTGTTCGTGATATATCTCCACTCCGCGTCCGGGGAGAATATTTAAGAATACCAAGTGAAACCTTTTACAGCCTTATGACTTGTGAGATCCGATAACGCAACATGATCATCATGATCATGTCTATGGGCCATCATCACGCCTTAAAATTATGCATAAATTAAGGATTTATATACTGTATACTGCAGCTATCAAGACCTGGTGAGCTTCAGAGTAACAGAATGGTGAAACTTATATGTACCTAGCCTTTGGTAATAGTATTTATCCCCTCCTTGTCTGGGAAACTTCTCAACGCAGAAGAAACAAACCACAAACCACAGCCATTATGAAGTTCTCATTTTTCTTCTTCTTCCTATTCCCACTTCTCTTCCACACCGATTTAACCAATGCCCTAAAAATCATGCCCCTAGGCGACTCCATAACCAATCCAGGTTGCTGGTGTGCAATACTCTACAATTTGCTTACCTCATCTTACCCAGCATCCCAGATTTCTTTTGTCGGAACACAAGTTTCCTCTGGGTGCGACTCATTCCGGGGATCCTATGATGGTCGGAATGAGGGGCATGCGGGGTGGTTAGCTACTGATATTGCGAATGATGGACACCTGGTGAGGTGGTTACAGGAAACGAGGCCGGAGATGGTTTTGATGCATTTGGGGACTAATGATATTTGGAGGGGGGTTTCGACGGAGAGGATTATTGCGGCTTATGGAAAGATGGTGGATCAGATGAGAGCGAGTAGGAGGGATATCAGGATATTGGTAAATCTTTCAGTCTTTCTAATTTGTGGGGTTGAGTAGTAAGATGAGGAAAGATGGAGTCCGAGGAAGAGATTTTGCAGAGACTAATCATGATTGGTGGTAATAGGTTGCTAAAATTATTCCAATGAATCCTGGGAATTGTCCATCATGTTACCAGAGAGTAATTGAGCTCAACCGAGCGATAGGACCATGGGCCCTCGGAAAAGCAACACAAGAAAGTCCTATTACGCTGGTGAATCAATGGAGTGGATTTGATGCTGCGAGGGAAACAAGTGATGGAGTACATCCTAATGCCGAAGGGGACCGGAGGATGGCGGTTCGGTGGTATGGAGCGGTGTCGGCGAGCTTGAGATAATCTGGTTGGCTTGTTTCAATGGTTGGAGGAGTTTTTTTGCGGGTGAAGTTTGGATTCATTAAGGACCATGGATTCTACCGTGGGATTCGGTTATGGCTTTAGTGGAGTGACGTGTGATGCTTGTTGCTTGATGCATGGTGGGTGATGCTTGATGCCTGGGGTACTGTCAGATGATGGACTATGATTGATTATTGATGGATCGGAGAATAGCGAGGATAGCAAGGTCAAATAACAGCTTAAACGGTCATACATATTGGCGAGATGAGAACAAAAGTGGAGAAGACCATGTGGTACCTGGATATGCCAGGTATTACCGTAGATTCTGAGAGTATGGAACGGAACGGGGACGGATATGCAAGATATATTGACTAATGGGCATTTCGAATGTAGATCTATAAACCAATTGCTTATGGTGTACCACATTTGAAGCCATTGGCCCTGCGTCTCAGGACGGAAAAAACGGTAAATGTTAGCGTCCAAGATGCCTTTTCTCCCGTGGAAACATGAAATGAGCAGATGAAGGAGATCTTCAGGTACGAGAGGATGCATTCTGTGATCCTGCCTGGTTGAATGTCCATCGAGTAGAGACCATCAAAAAAGCTCTAGAAGGCATCACAGATTAAGTGTCAATACGGTTGGTGATTACTACCGGATGCCCCGCTTATCTTATCCCCTCGATACACTTATCGAGGAGATGGAATATAGACTTTGAATGCACGGAGCTTTTGCAAGCTTGTTCGGATTGATCACCGGATCAGCTTCTCACAGCATATCGGCGTAGATGGTTGAAAGACCAGAGAGGTATTGTGTTAGACTATGAAACGGACCAATACTGCGTTTACAATAATTTCTTCTTAGATCCGTACATAGTTGTAATGCCTGCAAAATCTCTGCAATTTGGATAATTACCGGTTGTTTTCTCCAAGGCTCGAACAGCCCGGTTCAGCCTTCCTGCATCTGCATCAGGCTCGACCCGGTGAGTAATCCTGCACCGAAACACTCGGCTAAAGATCAAAACATCACACGAGACTGTCAATTGGAATTCTAGAAGACATCTCATGCTGTTCCTTCGTATAGGTACCTTATCTTGAGTGGGTCAATGTCCACTAAGAGGCACTTGAGCAAGATTTCGTGTCCAGGTATCCATCCATGCAATGGGTTGTTGTCGATGCAGGTACAAACTACAACCAATATCTCCGCGGTAACCTGGGATATTTACTGTCTCAGCAATTGTAATCATTTTCTGTGTGCGAAAAACCCTCATATGACTTCCATAAACTAGCGATTTAGATAGCTAGTTTTTCCTGCTCTCTTCGCGATACCGAATTGGGCCCACATGTTGCGATAATTGATTGCCTCCCACTGGCTCTTTAGCTCGGCGTCTTCAGCATTCGCATTCGCAGCTAAGCAACCCTCAAGGCAGCCCGGAAACGGCGATAACGCGGCCGGCATGTCGGAACAGCGGGGAACGAACGGCGACTCTTTTTCGCCTGCAAATTTTCCTCCATATCCGAGATGAGCGGCAATATCGGCATCGCCATACCAGCAGGGTGCGGTCTCACAGTAAAAAGAAGGCTGGCTGGTGCTTTCTTTTGACGAGGCGACGCAACAGTCAATGGATGTCGCGCTACCACCAAGCGCTACGCTGTTTTGTCGCTGAAGCTCCGGTGGTTGGTGTCGCTGATTTATTTCTTTTCTGGTCTAGCTGTTCTGGAGTAGTGGAGGACGGCCTCACGATCGGACTGCCAGGGTTGCGTCACCTGAGAGAGCGAGTTGGTTTCACTGCAGCCAAGAACGCGGGGAAGCGAGCAGGAGCATCGTTGGCCATACGAACAGTGCTTCTGTGGGGGATGAGAAGCGGAGAAGATGTGCTCGGAGATGGGGGGGGGGAATTGAGCGTGAGTCTGTGGGTGGTGTTTCTTCCGATGGAAGACAACAAAAAAGCTTCCTCCATCGGTGTTCGTCTGGCAAAGTGGATGGATGCAAAGGGATATCGTTCCTCGGATTTCGGATGCGGGAGCGCTAGGGGTAGTGGGAGTTAGTGGGATTACAGGGATGTATGGGCAAGCAAGTAAAAGCTTAACAGTTTTAGAGAGATGACGACGGGCAGACCAG